ACCATGCAAGCTGGTATACCGCAAGAATGGTGAGAACAATGAGAAGAGCGATGATCAGGCTAAGGTCGGTCTCGTAGTTGGAACCGTTCATTAACGAGATTTCGCAGGTCTCGTCGGGAGGGGTGCTCGTTACTATTAACAGCAAGACTGTTAGTATAGAGGCGAGCTGAAGGGCGATGATAAAGGGTTTCGTGTTGGGATACGTGATTCCTAAAAGAGGCGGGGATATATTGAGTACAGGGCAGCTAGCAGTCCTGCTAGTACCACTGCTGATATTCCGAGTCCGATTAGGAGGAAGGTTAAGTAGACAGTCAGGAAGACTGCGAGGAGTAGGTCGTCGTGGATGATGAAGTTAACAATCAACCGGGTTACTAACAACAGAAGCAGTAGCCAAGGGGGTATTAACCACAAGGCTAGTGCAACGACGTAGTGTATCGGATGAATGGTGACGGTGAGTGCTTTTCCGTTGGTCCACTCGCTGTACGTTGACAAGCACCGGGTTGTCCACACGAACGTAGGCGATGACCTCTCTGGTCAAGCGGGGTATTTTCTCGTAAAAGAGTTGGGCAGCGCTCTTTCTCGGAAGTGACGCTGAGCAACGTAGAGCGAGCTTCGGCTAAATGTTAGCCACTAACTCAAATCGACTTAGATCGTACTAAGGTCGCTACTCGCACTTCGGTAGTCGACACCAAGCAAGTCAAAGGCGACATAAGTCGATGGGGCAAGTAGTCACGAAGAACGGAGTTCGATGTCAGGTAGAATAAACCTTAGCCGAAGCTGGGGTTTAGACCAGCTGAGGCTCTACTTAAATACACGTTGCGTAGGCTAAAAATAGTGCCGCAGCAGCGTCCGATCGAAATCGCAGCATAGAGTAAGCGTGAATACGTAAGAAAAGAAAAAGAAATGAATGAACCGTAACATGAGGACAACTATATCTTGGTTGTCGTCCTTCCCTTGTTCGTGGTCCACTCGGCGGCTGAGTAGATCGGCCTTCTTGTTGGACGTTCCTGGCTTGTGATGAAGGCTGAAGTGGTATTCGGCTAGCTTGGTGACCCACCTGGCCTGTCGACGGTTGAGCTTCTGGGGTTTCTGAAAGTATTGTAGGTTTTGGTGGTCGCTCCAGATCTCAAAATCTAGTTGGGCCCCCAGCAGGTAGTGTCTCCATTCCGACAGGGCTAACATGATGGCCAGGAGTTCTTTGTCGTAGATCTTGTAATTATGCTCGGTAGTGGAGAGCGCCTTGGAGAGGAATGCTAGCAGTCTCCACCTTCCCCCCTCGTCTTCCTGCAATAATACCGCTCCAATGGCCCTGTCGCTAGAGTCCGCCTCTAGTCAGAAAGGTTTGGTGACGTCGGCCATCCCCAATACTACTCCTTTCATGAAGCATTGCTTGATCCCTTGAAAAGCTTCTCGCTGCGCTTTTCCCCATTCCCATTGTACCTTGCCCATTAATCGTGTTAGCGGGTGTACTTTGTCGCTGTAGTGTTCGATGAATCGTTGGTAGAAGTTGGTGAATCCAAGAAAAGACTGCAGTTCTTGCTTCTTGGTGGGTTCTGGCCATTCCAGGATTCCTGCAATTTTGATGGGGTCCATGCATACGCTTCCCTCGCTAATAATCACCCCCAGGTATTCTACCTCCAGCGCCTCAAACTCGCATTTTGATGCCTTCAGGAACAGTTTGTGTTCGTGCAATAGCTGCAGAATGCGCTTGGTTACCTGGCGATGCTCCGTGCGGGTTTTGGTGAAGATGAGGATATCATCGAGGTATACCGTGACCTTTCCTTCGGCGATTAGCTCTTTGAATGTGTCATTCATCATCCATTGAAATGTGGCGGGGGAGTTGGTGAGTCCAAAGAACATAACCAAGGGCTCGAACAGCCCTCGATTAGTGCGAAATGCGGCCTTCCACTCATCTCCTTCTTGGATGTGGACGTTATTGTAGCCCCACTGTACGTCTAGTTTGGTAAAGTACTGGGCTCCCTGCAGCTGGTCCATGAGTTCTCCTATAAGGGGTAGAGGATACCGATTCTTGATGGTCATTTCATTGAGTTTTCGGTAGTCTTGGATGGGCCTCAGTTTTCCGTCCTTCTTTTTTACAAAGAAGAACAGGGACACCATGGGGGATTTGGATGGGCGAATCCTTCCGCTGTCGAGGTTCTCGGCAAGGAATGCATCGAGCTCTCTCTGTTCCTGTGGGTTGAGCGGGTATACCTTGCAGTCTAGGCTGGCTTTCGCATTGGGGATTAGTTTGATGGCATGGTCCCATGGCTAGTGGGATGGTAGGTCGTCGAAGTTTTCCTTGGCGAAGACATCGCGGTATTCGTGGTAGTCTTTTGGTACAATTTCCTCGAATGTGTGGGCTGGCTTCTGTTGGTTAGCCTGGGTGGCCAGGTCGTTGGATCGTGTCCCAGCTGCCCGTAGGTGTATTTCTTGTTCCAAGTTAACCATTAGAATTCGGTCACCTTCCTCATACTCTGTCCAGTGTAGGGGGTCTTCATCTGGTAGACGGAATGGTACTGGCCTACAGTCACACCGAGCCAGTGTTATGGCTCTGGTGGCCCAGTCTATTATCGGGTTATGCCATTGGAGCCAGTCGTACCCAAGGAATAGAGGTGTGGTTCCCAGGTCTACTACCGCTAGCTCGATGCGTTCTTCGTGGTCCCCAATAATTAGCCGGACCTCGGCATATTCAGTAATGTCTCCACCTTTGTTTCTCATTCCGTCCACATTGTATACTGGGGTGGGGCACGCCGTTGGCCATAATTGAAGGTCGTGGTTTTTGGCCCAAGTTCAGTCAATGGCGCTCCCAGTGCATCTGCTATCTACTAGGGCCTTTACTTGGTGAGGGATACAGGTGTCCAGCATTTCTAGGCATAGATCGATGGTTACATGGCACCCCTTACCTCCTCGTATGTACTGAGGGGGTGCCCGTAGCTCCTCTAGTTCATCTAGCCCCTGGGTCATGTGCGCCATGCTCTCTCCCTCCTCTTCCATGAGTCGCCAGATGGTTTCAGCCACTACCTCCTTTATTTTCGTCGGGTGTACCCACCGCATCAGTATCTCTTTCTGTTTGCTTAGAGTTTGAGCGTTCTTCAACCCCCGACGTATCCATTCTGGTCGGTCCTGGTGCAGGTGGTAGGCCTGTGGGCACTTTGTTCCCATGCGCCAAGGGTACTCCACGACCTTGGGTCGGGCCTTCTCCTCGGCGTAGGCTTCCTTCAGGTGCAGGTAGCTGTAATTGTCATCTTCATCAGGGATTTCTTCTACAGTGACGGGGCGATGTTGTGATGCTTGCGACGGCATTTGGTCATCGGGCCAAAAGGGGCCCTGGGGCGGCATTTGGTCGCTGTTCTTGTTCTGGGTTTCGCAAGGGTCGATCTTTCTTGAGGCAGCCATGCATCGTGAATGCTGTTTCGCTGCCGCATTCGCGTTCCCTGCTACTACAGTCTGTTCAGTGATTGGCTTACCGGATTTCCCGCTGGCTTGGGTTTGGGGTTCATTGCCGATATGGACGGTGGTAATCCCCTGTACACCTTGGTTCAGTGAGGCTGGGGGTCTCCCTTCTGCTTTAAAACAGCTCGGCACTGGGTCTGCTGGGCCTCGAGTACTGCTGTCAGCCTCCTCCCTCGCCTCCCCTGGACTCCTGGTTCCATGGATGTCAGGAGCCTCCTTGCGCCGGTACGGCCCCAGCCTGTCTGTCGGGCCCGAAGGTCCTCGGGGTTCATTGCCCATTGGGTGGCAGAAATCCCCTTCTACACCATTCCCGCCTTGTGATTCTTGCTTAGTTTCTGTATCTTTTAACGGCAACGGGGGTATATTCGAATGCGTTGATGTACGTACAGATTGGATAGAAACTAAAGTCCTGGCTGACGTGACTGAATCGCTTACTTCCTCGTCAGCTCTTCTTTTACCTCTTCAACTCGAGTGGTGCTGGCCAAGTCTTCTGGTTGGTTGGGGTTGTTTAACATTGTGCGAATCATGGATTTGGATAGTTTGTACTGCCCGGCCTTGGGATTGGGCTTCCACTTGATCAGCCACTTGGATTCATCAGGGTCACACTTGTTATCCCTGGACATGTGACTGGGGCCACCACATCTGAAGCATAACCCGTCCCTCTTTAGTTGGTCCACCTCCATGGGGAGTCCCTGCCCTCCATAGGTGGTCCCAGTGGAATCCTTCCTGTGGTCGATCGTGCTGGGGTTGCTGGGCCTGGGCATGGCAGGTTTCTGCATCTGTCGTTTGCCCCCTTCCTCTGCCTGATGGACGTGATAGTTCTCGTCGATCTGTTTTACCCTCCATTTCCACTCCTCATAGTTCCAGGGCCGATTGTTATCTCCATGCATGATGATGTCCTTCGTTCATGTACGGATTGCCTTCTTCACCGTGTCGGTCATCTCTTCCTCATTTCCAAACTTCTCGGCTTCGATGGCTAGCATTTCGAAGTCCTGGAAGAATTCGATGGTGTTTTTGTAGTTTGCCTGTCGTAATGCCTTCCATTTCACCTTCTTTAGTTCAATCTCGGCCACCTCCCTGAACCTTTCTCTGACTTCCATATTGAAGCTGGGCCAGGTGGGATACCTGGTATGATGGCATACGGGGTCGTATAGCTGCTCCCTCTTCTGGATCCACCATTCTAACGCCTTTCCTTCCATTAGTGAGGTGGTGAACACTATCCTGGAGGGAGCATAGCCCCACGTGCTCATCGGAAACTCCCGGGGGAAGATGTTGAAGTAGTCTTCGCATCCGGATAAGAATCTTTTTACGTCGCTAGAAGCTCCTGAGAATGGGGCTGGGGTCTTCATCATTTTGGGCCTAACTGCTCCCCACAGTAGTTCTGCCGATTCTATTTCCCATGGTTTGGGGCTATCGGGTGGTGGCCCTGGCGGGTCAGGTGGCAGTTCTAGGTCGACTAGTTCTGGTAATGACTGTAGCTCGTAGTCATGGTGCGGGTTGTAGGGCAGTGTCGGAGGTGAAGGAGGTGGCGGAGGAGGTCGTTTCGGTCACAGCACCTTTGCATGCTGAGAGGGCGGTTGGGCTGGGTCCGTCCATTCTTCTCCTCCAGGTACTGCTTCCTCGGCCGGCATTCCCCCTAGTAACCTACTTCCTGGGGGTAAGGTGGCCTTCGGTTCCTTTGGGATTATCACCCAGTGATAGGGTGGATAGCTTCTTTGTTCGAAGGGCTGGAGTACATCTGCCTGATCATTGTGCAACTGATTCCATAGTTTCGCCACGTGATATCGAACTTCATCTTCATATATAGCATTTCTGACCATCTCCGGTAACTGCTGTTGGTACATTAATTTGGCCGCGTCCGTGGTGATCCATGACCCTTCATTGGCCAGGGATCCCCCCTGCCATTCCAGAAGCTCTTCCCAGTCCATCTCAGTCACCGCCTTCTTCATTATGGGGTTGGGGGGTTGATTGGGGATAGGGCATGGATTCCTCTGTGTCTGGCTCCGTGATCCAGTATCGGTAGTCGGTGAGGGCAGTGTGCTCCCATGGGTACCAGCAGTTCCAGATGTGGGTCTGAGTATTTCGAGGCCAGAAATAGAGGGGCTGGTCTTTGGCCTGTGGTAGTATGGGGAGTTCCTGTCTTTCTGGTATGTGGGCACCTCCCCTTCGGGTGAGGGCTCAGTTCTGATTTCATACTCCCCTGGCGAAGTCCTGGAACCTTCTATAGAGTACGTCCTACTCTGAGTGGATTGGGTTGTCGAAGAAGAACTGGGCCAGTTCTGGCTTGGCTCCGTACTCTCCCATGGTCCACTTGACGTAGGGTATGAGGGGCTCAGGGGTCTCCCAGTCCCTCCTCCGGTCCTCAGCAATGGCTTGAAGCTGGTGGCATAGATCTCCGTGGCACTCCCCGTAGGGGCTGAGGTGGTGGTCTGCGAGCTCGACTCGAATTGGGTGGGGGTTGTGCCTTCCGTCGTCCGTGACCCAGGAGTCGTAGGAGTCTGGTCCAGAGGTATCCCTGGGGTCGCAGTCAGAAATGTCTCTGGGATCTGGCCCCGGACTTCCCCCCCTAGTCACGGTGTCACTTCTCCCAGTAGCAATGCTGAGGTCTGGGTATCCGGGAATAGTGGGTGAGTCGGGGTACTGGAGGTTGAACTCTGGTATCTCCCTGTCCTCAAGTGGAGGGAGCCAGTGATATGCCTGGTATCAGGCTACCCATAGATTTTGTGATTTTACATCAGTTTATGCAATCTACAAATGGTATAGAGAGCTACAGTGGAGGCTTCACGCTGGTAGCTAAATACTACATAAAGAATGAAAGCACGGCAGTACAGAACGGACTTAGAAATGACGTCTCGAAGAGTCAATTCTACCAGCTGTCAACACACCAAGCTAAGCCCCACCTAAACAAGACTATTACAGTCAAATCTCAGGGACTTGTCTGTATGGAGTATAAAAACCAAGAAGTTGAAGAATGGAATGAACTAGATGCCTCGTCACCTCGACGAGTAGAAAGAACCTGTCAAGAAAAATTGCTAAGTCGAGAAACAGACCAGCTTTCGAGATCAACTCAGGCTAGGAAAGGAATAACCTTGGAAGAATGAATAGCCACATTGGGTACTGAGATGACCGACCTTGATCGTGCAGTGATCAACAGAATATAATCTTGGACCTGCAGTCGATCGTGATCAGTGGTTACATCCTTGAGATCCTGCGCATACCGCAGTATTCCATACATACGGCACACGGCAAGCCTTGCAGATGGAAGAAGGAGCACCCACGTACTAGTAGGGCACTCCTCGGTGACAGAATAATCCGGCGCAGTCGCGTCAAACTGAATAGAAACTACGGAATGGCGCGATACTTGTAGGATAGTGACTCACCGTTTGTATTAATTCCAAAGCTCGTACCATAATTACTGTAGATATGGGCTCCTATACCTAGAACACGAATCATATAAATTAGCAGCGACTAGATGCATAATGGCAGGAAAGCATTCCCCCGCGTTTGTGCTAGTAGCCTGTATAGCTACCTAATCAATCACTGGTTTTATTGCATATCCTCGACTGAAGTGAATTAAGTTACCAAAGTCAACCCATAAGGGCGACTACAGTAATCTAGAAGAGTTAAGTAGGAAGTAGAGCCATCCCCGCATTTGCGCCTTGCTAGTTAATTGAACTGCTCTGCGGACAAAGGCCTCGTGCTCTCTCTCTCCGAGATTAGCAATCTAGACGTGCTGAAGTCGACTTTAAGTCAAAAGACCTCATCTAGTTGAAGTAAAATAAGCTCTAGAACGCTTTAAGTTCGAACAATCGTCGAGTTCAAGGAACTCCAGAGTCTGTGTACTCTTTGCAAGTCTTGTACTTGAAGTCAGAACCTGAGCGTTCTTTGTAGAGTGATTTTGCACTCTTTGTAGACCTTGGAGTCTTTGGTTGTTTGATTATTTGAAGTGTCCGCTAGAGGCTCTTCTAGACGACGTCAAAACGAGTATAACTTGCTCGATTATACCTTGCAAAACAAGTTCATAAAACCTTGCTATCGCGGACTAGTGTACCTTGTGTAAAACACATCGAAAGAAGAATTGAAGTTGTTTTCAGACAAAACCCCACTAGATTATCTAAATCTAAGTACATCATGAGTGCTTCTATCGTACTCACCCTCGAACTTATATACATTGGTGATAGTGTGTGTGTGTGATTTAGTATCTAGATTGACGATCTAGATGCTTGTTTCATTTGCACGCTGCCCGTTACCGAGCACATCACCGGTTTGCTTGGTGCCATGCGTCCATGATCGCCCAGTCGTGCTGCTGCTGGGAGTGGAACTCTTCTGGCTCGGGGATCTCGTCTGGATCGGGGGCGCGAGGGGAGAATCCGTGGTAGGCTATAACAACTTCTTCCCCGTGGGCAGTTGTGAGGTAGAGGCGGGTGGAGCGGGGACGAGTTTCTGGACCGACGATGACTCCTCCTGTGGTGGGGTTGACCCTGGTTTCAGTTGCCCCTGATTCTTCGTCCGAGGGGTCCGCAGATGCCCGAAGAATCCTGTCTGCGAGGACCTGCTGCTCCCTTCTGTCGGCGTCGTCTTGCTCTTCAACTCTGCCAACCCGAATCTCTCCTTCCATGTCTTCCTTGTCTCGCTGGATTGGGAGGTCGGTGTGGATGTCCTCATTCCTTGACATCGAAGCGCTAGGTCAGAATCTGAAGGTGCTGGCATTTCGATAGTGGAAGGGGGTGCGTCTAGGTTGTCTGTCGAGCCCGTAGTATACTCTCCCGGTAGTGGGGGTCTGCGGGACTCTGGTGTGGTGTCGTCGTTTGTATCGGAGGTATCCATACAGGAAACAGAATATAAGTACGATGATGGCGGTTAGGAAACTGGCAAAGACGTTAAATGTGTTAGATGTGGTGCTGCTCATGGGTGGCATTCACTGTCGTGGTTGACAATGAAGGCCCTTGAGAGAAGCTTTGGCTAAATGTAACCCACTAGTAGGACAAACAGGGTCAAACTCATGACGTGACTCGCACTTCGGTCAAGCGTACAATGAGCAGGCGCAAGTGGTCTCTTTAGCAGATGACTTAGGCAGCCTAAGTGAGAGCGATTGAGTCAATAACTAGGTATATAAACCTTAGCCAAAGCTGGGGCTTAAGGCCACAGCTTGGTGCGTTTAAATACAAGAGTGTAGTTCTAAAAATGGTGCTAATAAGTCCGTGTATCATACGATGAGCTGGCATTATGGCCTGAATAGAAGTGCTGATGTGACGTCCATGTGTCGCAGTACTAAGCATGTATGAGTCAATAAGGTACCATGTGAAAAGGAAAAATAAGGAAAAGTAAGGATCCGTAACAGTAGCAATGCAGTTAAAGCCAGAATCTTCAGGGAGTGAGCCTATAAAGTCAATAGCAACACTATCACCACACTTTTCAGGGATTGGGAGTGGATGTAAGAGACCATGAGGCTTTGTCATCAGTGATTTATTTCGAAGACACAATTCACAAGAAGGGATATATGACTGTTCAAGATTGCATCGCATATTAGGCCAATAATAAGAGTCATGCAAGATGGCATAGGCCTTGTCTGCACCAAAATGTCCTAAACAATCATGGGCCAGTCTAAAAAGCTCCTCATGCACATTTCCCACATGAGGAATGAGCAGGTGGTCTCCGATATACCATAAACCATTCACCTCAGAAACATTAGACAAGATTTTCTGCCCAGTTATGAATTTCTTGCAAAAGTCATCTGTGACATAACCCTCAATGATTGAATCGAGCAAATGAGAATCAGCAGAAATCTCTAGAGAGGACTGTATGGAAGCAACTGGATGTGTGGATAGCCAAGCCTGCCAGCATGGTACTTCATCAGGATCAAAGTCAGGTACCTCTTCAAGAGGGTCTTCTGGTAGATGAGACAAGGCATCAGCAACAGTATTATCTTCACCTCTTATGTACGAGATTGTCATGTCAAATTGGGAAAGTTCCTCCAACCAGCGAGCCTGCTGATGAGAGAGGGTCTTCTGAGTTTTGAAGTTTTCAAGGGTATGATGGTCAGTATAAACCTGGAAATGTTCTCCAAGTAGATCAGACCTCCATTTCTTACAAGCATGTACAATAGCAAGAAGCTCTTTTTCATGTACTGGATAATTTAACTGTGCACCTTTGAGCTGTATGGACTCATAGGCAACAGGATGAGCAGTTTCCCAAGTGGGACCCCAAGAAAGCACAGCACTGGTATGCCTGTCGCTTGCATCACAAGTAACAAAAATTTTGTTCTCTCCAGGGTTAACATGGTCAATAACAGTGAGGCATTCTGCAGACACAACAAGTGACTTAATTGAGTCAAAGGTGAACTGATGTTCCTCTGTCCATGGGAGGAAGCGATCTGGCTTCAGAGCAGTCAAAGGAGTCAGAACAGCTGTGTGATCAGCCAGGTTAGGTAGGAAGGATGCGAGGTAGCGAACAAGTCCTAAGAAAGTGTGGACTTCAGATGGGGAGCGAGGTACAGACCAATCTAGTATCCATTTAACTTTAGAGTTGTTGGGCTCGATTCCTTTCAGGGAAATCCTGTGTCCCAAGAAACAGATGGAATATTTGAAAAATTCTGACTTTCTAGCATTACAATAAAGTCTGTCCTTCTTCAGAGCATCCATTATCATGCAGACATGTTGTTGATGTTCTTTTAGAGACTGGGACCAGATAATGATGTCATCTAGATAAATGTGATAAAACTTTCCGATAAATGCACACAGAGCCTCGTTAACCTGGTGTTGATATACTGAGGGTGAGTTCTTCATACCCTGCGGCATTACTGTCCACTCATATAGACCAAAGGGTGTGTTCACAGCAGTCAGAGGAATACTGTCAGGATGCATTTTAGTGTGAAAAAAACTATCCATCATGTCGAGCTTGGACCAAATTTTTCCAGATCTGGCATCAGCCAAAATATCATCAATACAGTGATGTGCTCGGTAATGGCGAGTAACTAAAGGCTAGTGAATGGATATGAACACCACAAACACCAAACCCTCTACTACTCTACACAAATCACCAAATATATTGAATTTGGGCATTTCGAGTATGATAGAAGCACTCTACAGACTTCAATAATCAAGGGAAGTTATTATAAAGATGTTTATTCGTTACTAGTGAGCTATACAAAGGTACTACTCGCACTAGTGGGGTTGTTAAGACACAATTGACTGTAATAGTGACTTGTTTGGAGCTACTGCACTCGCTCTGACTGAAACTGCTTCGAACTAGTGGCTCTCTTGGCCCTATACTGCTTCCTACAAGTGATAGACACTTGACTAGTTGCACTCTTGGCTGACTAGTGGCACTCTTGGCCTAAGAATAATACTTTAAACTTTGAGAAACTCACTTAAACTAACTTCGAAACACTCTGAGCCTATGCAGGATGCAACAGTGGACTCTAAAACACTTCTATTCACTCAATACTATGGATAACTTAGCGACTAGTCGCCGCTTTGGCAAGGTTAAGCACAAAAGCCTTTAATTGGGGCACTAGTTACTGACTAGTAGGTCACAATCATGGGGATGGCTTGCCTGCCTGCATGTGCACCTACTCTACTACTTATATACTGACTAGTAAGGTACAATCAAAGTATAAATAAACTGGGTAAAGGGTATTATTGGTAAGAATTTCTTGGCTAGTCATGAGTAAATGGTGAATGATCATGCAATACGTGGTCTAGAGGTAGTTTCTTGATTACTAGTTGTTGTGACTGACCTACAGGTTGTGACATAGTGACAGGCATGCTGTGTCTCGGCAATCCGGCAACATCCAGAATATTCGAGCATCATTGCTCTTGCTAAATGTTTCTCCCCTTGTACTCTTACTTACTGGAACCTTCAAGTAGATATAAACATAAGTAAAGTAGTAGAACTTTCTAGATACATTGTGTAGTATATAAGGCTGAAGTTTTGGCCTAGTAGAATAATTATTCCTTCATACTCAACCACCACTAAGGTAGTAGATCGAGAGATAGGTTTACCACTGCGTATTTCACTCATCCTCACAATAGGTTATGGGCCCTGAAGCCTAAATAATCTATACACCTACATACCTACACGAACAGTACTCGCCTAATACAACTATCAAAACCCCAGCCCTCATCACATCATGTCATCATCAATTGATTCGACACCATCATCACTATTCTGAATCGAGCTCCTTTGAGAAGACAATTGGGTTTTGTGGAAGCATCATGTGACAGCTATCCTATGAGAACAGAGTCTCTTAAAGTATGCCGAGGGAAAGGAAGCGAAACTGAGTGCAGCAGACCCTAAGGCACCAACAGCCGAGGAAACTGCAAAGCTACGCAAATGGGAGGAGATGGATGGGAAGGCACAGACCCAAATAGAGCTGACGCTAAGCGACATGCAGATGATTCACATTGCAGGTGCTACCACCGCAGCTGAAATGTGGAAGCAATTGAAGTTGGTAAAGGAGGCTAGAGGAAAGCTAGGAATTTTATCCTACCGTCGCCATTTGTACCATTGAAGAGGCTGGCTGTGGGCACCTGTGGAATAGTGAGCAGGCTAAAAGGCGAACCTCAAAAACCCACACACACACTCACACAACTACACAAACTACAATCACCCTCGTAAGTTCTAGGGGGAGCGATTATTTCTAATGCAATCCAACTATACTTCAATATCTCAAAGAGTTTCTCTTATTCTCAGTGCTCTTAGCGAAGCTAAGCTTTCTCTAATGAATCCCTAAGTCTAGGAACTTTTTACAGGAAGGTCGTTCACTGGCGCGACGCAACCTTCAAGGCAGATTTGAGTTATAATACACAAGGGGACACTGATCCCGACAGAAACAGAGGCAATACACACCGAAACTTTAGTGAGCTCGCTAAAAGAACACCACAGACAAACACTGACATAGTCCGCTCGCTACACAACTGTATGTAGGGGTTCCCCAACTAACTTCAACAGATGATCTCGACTCAAGAACACTTCAGAAGTGCTCAGAAACAGATTCAGAAAGCGGAAACTCGAAACAGAACTGATGCAGAACAGACAGAACAGAACAGAACAGATCTCACTTTTCCTCTTCAGAACATACTCTGAACGGACTTATCAACACTCAAATGGAACAGAACAGCTTCACTGATTCTTATTCTCTCGGAACTAAGTGCACAAAGGTCTTTTCTCAAGGGTATCTTGTATTTCTCTGAGTGAGCTCGCTAACTCTACGCAAGACTCGAAGTCACAAACTGATCCTTTGTTACAGTACCGCCTTCAGCACGTGCACAGGAACTCGGGGGCTCGAAACTTGGCCTCTACCTACTGTAACCAGTCTACTTATACTACAGGAGAATTAGAATTACAAACATCGCGCAGTACCCAGACTCCTACATGTGTAGCATGTTGCCACTGCCGCCTTACTGAGCATCCGAGTCGGACTTCCCAGTTTTAGTCTCATTCCTATAGTGAGCTCGCTAAACGTGTGCCAAGAGGTGCTCTCCTGGCACCTGCAGGCTTGTTCTCTAGTGACTGACAGGTCTAGATGCCCGGAACTATCAGTCCTGGCATATGTCGTTCAAGACTTCTTTCTTGGATTCACAGAGGCTTCTTGTAGACATGGCAACAAGTGAGTCTTCTAACAATGGGACTCAAAACAATGGAACGCAGGCTTGCGGACTTCGGCTGAAGCCCATTGCCCAAGTTCATGCTGGTGATATCTGTCATCTCGCTTAAGGATTTCCCCAGATTTTCAGGTACGACACGTCACAGTTAGCGAGCACGCTAAGTACTCTTAGTGTTACTGCAATCTTCAAGGTTTTATCTAGCTCCCACGAGCGTGCTTGTAAGTTAGAGCCTAAGGCATTGGGTATAGGGTTTGGCCTTCTCATCACGCATGCCTGTCAGGTACAGTGCGGTGACTAAGTCCTGTTTAGAATCCCGTTGCTTCTTATGCTATAAGTTATATTCCATATCATTGCACCACATAGCATTAGTGTCAATGTGTAGTTTTAGTCCGCTTGCTCACTATATCTCAGTATGCATGTAAAAACTTTAGATTGCAAAATTACACACGTAAATAGGCTGCAGTCGCAATATATCCCCCCCACTAAAGTCCTGACCATCCTCAGTCATCGCGTTGTGGGTCCGCATGTTTTCTTTCCTTTCCATGTGCTCCAAATTTGAAGGCACAGGTGCCGGGTACATCAATGTTCATAGAAGTTCTCACGTGAGTGCTTCTTTTCTTATTAGAAGGTTGGGGACTGGAGAGCTCACTAAATAAAAGCTAAGTCCCTCCAGTTTGCTTTCCCACCTTTCTGTTCTTTTCGCCCACTTTTCTAGTGAGCTCACTCTCTGTCTTCTCTTCTGCGATTTCTGTCGCCGCCGTTCAACTCAGTACGTGTTCTAAAGCATGCTGTCACTGTTGGCTGACGCTTCTCTTTTTATTTCAGAAGTCTCTTCAACATGTCCAGTCCTACTCCAGCCATTGCCGCCCTTCCCAACCTCTTGCCATCACCCGAGGAGCATATCTGCTACCGGTACTTTGTGCGTTTCAACCCGCACGAGTACTACTATGTGTACCGTTGAGTGACTGCCCTTTTCGTGCCTGTTTATCACCACTGCAGGGAGCATACTCCGGAAACTCTCTCTGAGATGTTTCACAAGATTTTCAATCTCTTGGTGCATACTCCTCCGGCTCTCTTTCTCCCGCTCGCTCATTTCCGCTGTTGTTAGTTTCCCAACATGCGTCGCCTTCGTGACCAGCGCCTCATCGATTCTAGAATTGGGGCCTACATCCATGGCTTTCTCACTCGCTGGCACGACACTCTGCCTCCCAGGCTTAGAGTCCTGGGTTGGAACCAGCTCATCGCTCGTGTCCCCACTGAGACATGGCCTTCTCATGTGAGTCTCACTTTTCCTCTTATCCCTGCCCATTTAATTCATGGTTCTATAGGGCCTACCATGCCTAACAGTCGGGTTACCCTTCCCTGGTGAACCCAGCTTTGTTATGACGTCTCCGCCCCTACCTCTCATTCATTATCTCCTGCAGCAGGAGGTTTTGGAATCTGAGGACATCCTTTGTACCCCACTGATCGACGAAGAGGCCTTCCCGGGTGTCGTTTTTCCATGGTACCCGACTCCTCTTCCAGATGATGTCGATGAGCTCGCTTCTGAGCAGGGGTCCCCTATTCCTCAGCCTTGTCGCCGCTGTGGTGCCCAACCCAGTGCACCAGTGACTTCAAATTTTAGCCCACTCTCTAATGGGCAGACTCTTACTCTGGCGCTGGCGCTCCCTTTTTCTCCTTGTCCGGCTGGTCCTCCTGCTGGGCCTTCAACCCCAGCTCCTCCTCGTACTCCTGCGCCTCGCCTTCCTTCGACTCCAGCGCCTCCACCTTATCGGCTTCCCATGCCTCCACTGTCACATCCTCCCCCAGCTTTTGAGTCTCAGCCTCCTGCTGTGCATCACAGTCACCACCACTTGGTGGCCTCTATTCACGACCTGCAGCAGACGTTGAGGGTTCCAGCCTCAACTCCCGGGACTGCTCTGCCTTCAGCTGCGACTTTCCTCGATCTCAACCATCGGGTGTAAGTCTTCTTTCCTTTGGTTGTTCCTCTTCACTTTTCTAACAGTGTTTCATCCTCCAGTACTGCCAGTCTTCCAGTGCCGCCTACTCCGCCGAGTAAGTGGCTGAATGTCCTAGCCTAACTTAGCGAGCTCGCTAACTCAGGCTTTCCTCCTTCTAGCTCCTGACCCTAGGCGTCAACCTCAACCTCAGAGTGTGAGTTCTTCTCCTCATCCTCTGTCTCCGGTCGCTTACTCCTTTTATTTCCAGCCACTACCCCCAGACTCAAGACTTCCTCAGCCCGGGGTGAGTAGACTCCGTATTCTGTGCTAGCTCTCTTGCCAGTTACTCATGGTCGCTATTCAGTTCTCATCGTTTTCTACCCCCGTGCGCCCTGCTCCGCATACTGTGATGTTGGGCCGTACTCCTCAATGCCGGCCCCATGCTCAAGTGAGCCCTCCCCTGCCTCCGGTTGTTGGAGATGGGGAGTTTTCCACAGTGCCCGTCCCTTCTGCTTTAAGGGGGACCGATTCTACCCTGCAGCCTCAAGAGCCATTATTCTTCCCAAGTTCTGAGGAGGACGATGGTCATCGTCCTCCTTCTCGATCTCCTCCGCCTCCGTCTGACTTTGGTGGTGCTGGCGATCTCTTTGACGATATTCCTGTCATTGAGGAAGCTTGGGCACCTTTGCCCGAGCTTGTTTATGATGCTGTTTCTGGCGACCTCATCGCCAATCATGACTTTGACATGGGATCTCCTGTTGTGGAGGTTCCCAAATGTACTACTCATAGCAAGGGCAAAGGGAAGGCCGGTGCCTCTCCTTCCAAGAGGAAAAAGCCTGTCCGGAAGACCAAGGCTCCACCAGCAACTCCTCCTCAGGCTGAGGAGTCCGTTCGTTCTCCTCCCCCTTTTGTGCGTGTTTGTACGTCTACTCTCCACCATACCATCGCCTCTCCGAGCCCCATGCCTGCGGCTGGGCCTTCTCATCTAGCCAAGTGCAAGAAGCCGCTCCAGGCTGCTAGGGCTTCGCCTCCACCGGTGGAGGCTTCTCCTCATGTTCCTCTTACACGCTCGCGTGCCGCTGCTACCAGGGCAGCCATTCTTCCTCCTGTCATCGAGCTCCCTGAGGAGTCAGAATCGGGCTCCGACGATGATGCGCCTCCCAAGAAGAAACGCAGGATCTCCAACACCAAGCAAGAGAAGAAGAAGCAGGTCTCATGTGAAAAGGGGAAGGCCAAAAAGTGAGCTTGCAAACCTGACACTCGTTATATGCTTAGCGAGCCTGGTGCTGGGTCTGGGGTTGCTATCGGCTGCCACTCTACTAGCCGCTCGGAGCTCGAAGCCTTAACCTTTGAGGATATTCACGAGGGCCCCGCTGCCTTCTTCAAGTGAGTTTCTTTCTCTGCTTCCGTCTCCTCTATGTTATCTCAATCGTTGTGTATCCTAGGCCCATCCAGTACAGTGACAAGAATGGCACCTTTGGTGCACGCTCGGATCCCTTTCCTTATTTCGCGTGGGTTCCTGATGTGAGTGAGTGAGCTAGCTTTGCCTACTTTTCTCTGACTCTCCCTTTTTCTTTTCAAGGTTTCTGGCGACTGCATTCCCTGCTCGACTAGGGATCTCAACTGTACCTGGACGAACCAATTCCCAGGTGCATCCTGTGATCAGTGCACCTGTAGTCACCATGGCAGGTGTTCTGCTCGATACACCACTCAAGAAATGAACAAGGTGTCTTCTAAGCTCGCCAAGTATGTGAGATACAACGTCGGTTGTATGTATTTCTTTCTTATTCCTCCTCTTCTTAGTCCGCTCACTAACTTTTGGCACCACAGCAATGGAGTCTGATCTCAAGGAGCTCCATGCGCTAAACCACGACCTGGAGCACCTCGATGTGCTCATGCGACACAACTTCCTGAGGCACGACCACCTGATCCAGCAGCTTGCCGACTCTCTTGACCAAATCGCTGGCCATGAGAACGGTAATGCCATCATCGAAGGTCTGGCTTCTGCCTACGAGGAAGTCTCTAGCTTCATCATCAATGATGGTATCCGTCGCTCCCTCAGTCGTCCTCTTAACTTGCCAAAGCCTGGCGAGTCTTCTCGTTCTGCGGCTGGTTCTAAGTCGAAGTCTCCTATCAAGGGTGACGAGTCCGAGGAGGATTTAGATCCTAGCGGCTCTTCTGCTAGCAGCAGTGGTAGCAGCAGCTCCAGTGATTGATATCCTTGTAGTATATCTTGTGGGCGGACTTTCTATGTATCTCCTGTAGTATCTCCTTTTTGTCTTTTTGTTATCTTCTTGCAGCCCTTAAGGCTTTTTATCCAAAATCTCTTGCTGCTCTTTGTCCTGTTTTTCATGTGCGATCTTAGAAGGCAGTAGCAGGATAGGCATAGGAATCCTGCTGGTAGAGCAACATGGCTCAACTTAGAACAGATTCGATTCGATTCTCGCCTGTAGCGATCAGACAAGACTTCTGATATAGAGTAAAAAGACCTGAAGTAAAGAAATTACACTCTTACACCACTGCCACGGAAGACGATCAGGCGGTGATTTGGTGATGTCATTGCCTATGTGGCCCTGCATCAGAACTCTAAGTCCCTGATTTGCATTGATGCCATATCCATTCGCGTCTTGGCGAGCGAGCTTGCTACTTTCTTCAGGCTTGTGTGGTTTCTCTGTCTTTTTCGGTGTCTGTCATCTGTCTTGTATTTAGAGTTTTGTTTTCTGGATACCAGAACTCTTTGTTTGTTCTTTCATTCCTGTCCCTTTTGGCACTGGTCTTTCAGTCAGTCGCCGTTTCTGTGGACTTGTTTCCATCCTTATTTCAAATATTTGACATCTTCGCCTAAGTGGCTGCTTTTTCACGTGCCAATATCTCTTTGGTGTTGTTCGTAGAATCGAAAATTTATGTCCTAATTCCACATAATATTAAAGGTATACTGTGTATACCACTATATCCCCCACACTAAAAGACATTGACTGTCCTCAGTCACTAATCTCTTCAAGACCGACTCTATACTTCACCTATCAACCCAATTTCAAATCTATCAAAGCCCATTGTACTTCACTTTTCATTGTTCGCTCGGGCTTTGCTAGGTTGTGAAGTTCTCTCTAAGTCACGATTTGTTGGGATTAAATTTTTAATTTTTCCATCTGTGGCTGCTGCGAGTACTGGTATAAAAGCGAGGCCAGTCTACCGACAATTTTTATCCCAACAACTCGTTTTCTCAACCAGTACTCATGCTTTTCTCTGCGTTGTTCAGCCAAAACACCCTCATCTCTTACTATGTCTTCGACTGCTGCTCCTGCTATGCCCTTTGTCGCTGTGAAGGCTGTCATTACTCAGCTCTGCCAGAACCTTAGTGTTACTGCTGCTGAGAAAATGGGCCAGCTCCAGGAGTACACCGTAAGTTTTAGTGAGCTCACTAATTTTTGCGACGTTTCTGACCTGATTTTGTCAGGATCACCTTGAGCATCACAAGGAGGAGCTCATCAAGGACAAGGAGTTCTGCGAGACTATCTTCAAGGCTCGGAGCACGATCAAGAAGAAGTTTCATACTAACGCCTCCAAGCAACCCATCCACAAGGTCCTCAAGACCATTACTGGTTGGGTGCAGACGGAGCATCAGTCGGTAGAGGCTTCTCCTGCTGCTCCTATCCCTATGGGTCCTCATCGCGAAGTGAGTTCTCTATTTCTCCTTCTTCTATCCGTATTTACCTGCTTCTTTCCAGTCGAACTCCGCTCCTCGCAGCAAGGGCAGGTCCCACGCAGCTAAAAAGTCTGCTGCCATCGTCGACACCGATTCCGATGATGACGATGGTGACGACAAGGTAGCTGAAGCTTCTGATTCTGATGAAGACTCTGTTAAAGTATGGTTTCTCTAGATCTCATGTTCTCTTATTAGCGTGCTCACTAATGGCCTTTTCAAGATGGTCATCGACGATGACAATTCCAAGTCGGCTGCTGCCAAGCTTCCCAAGTTCCCCAAGGGCAAGGCTGGTGAAGCTTCCACGGGTGCAAAACGCAAAGAGCCTTCTAAGGTGGGTAATTTCACTTATATTTGAGATATCCCCCACACTAAAAGCTTTCAACTCTAGGAGGAACCTTCTGCCTGTTTCCATTGCGGCAGAAACAATCATTCCCTCCTCGACTGCACTGCTCCAGGCACTGTGAGTCATTATCTTTAGTGAGCTCACTAACTTTCTCACTAATTTTCAATTCCTCTAGGCTTCTTTGGCCAAACAGTACTACAAGGACAGCGATCGTGAGTCCAAACATTCTCGATACACCTTCCCATTGCCGTCTGCAAGGGAGTATTACCCCTCTAAGGGGTCCGGCAAACGTCGGTCGGCCTCTGTTCTCGGTCTCGTCAGTACTGGTGCATCTCTTTTCCTTCTCAATGCTTTATTCCTCTTCTGATCCGAGTTTTTTCAGCTGCCAGTGAAGCCAGAAGCAACACCCTTAACGAGGCTCTTCACTTGGCTCAGCAAGGGTCGTCCGTGGATGCTCTCCACGTCGAGTCCCTGGACCACCTGGCCCAGCTCGAGAGCACCATCATGGGGGATCTGGTTGTTATCCAGCACACAATCTTTGCTGCTGAGAAACAACGGGCCTTCCTCCTTAGCGAGCTCTCTGGGATTCAGGATGCTTTATCTGCTCCTCCCAAGGAGACTGCTTTGGTGAGCCCCTCTTCTTCGGATGCTGAGCACGGCCCCGCTGCCTCTACCTCGGTGAGCTTGGACCCAGCGGCGCTCTAGTTTGCGGCTCGTATCTTTGGTCCCAACCCGGCAGATGGCAACTGGTTCACGGCGCATTATTACTCATATTTCCTTCCTCTTCCTGTTTCTATGTGTAGTATATTGTTCTTTCTTGTGTATATCGTAGTTATACAATTTGTATCTTTCCTACTTGCAATCCCAGGCCTGCAGAAGGCGTTTTCTGCTTATCTTCTTAGCGAGCTCGCTAAACCTAAATATCTAAGTTGATCTCCTTCGACACTTTAAGGTGCTCTGTTTCTGGATAATCATCTGCGAAGTTCGCTGGGACCTTATCTTTAGGTTCCGGCGATTCTATCAAGTTTTCTAACTCTGCATGTGTCATATCCATGAGTTTCAAGACCCCCTCACCCAAATCAATAGATTTCCGGGCTAAGTAGGGCACTACTCTGAAAGCAGCGACCTTAGTACGTAGAATCGACCCATCTAGCTCTGCTAAAATGTAATTGCCGACCTTGGTGCGATGTACGACCACCAAAGGTCCCAAATATCGAGGTTTCATTTTCGTGTTTAGTGAGCTCTCTATTTATTTGGCTGTTTCACATCAGTACCAGATCGCCGCACTTAAACTTGAATTCCCTGATTTTGTTGGCATTCATCTTAGCGTATTTCAATGTCATTTCTCGTTTAGCGGTATCCATGTCTCTTCTCATTTTTGCAACTCGATCCGCATGCTTCTCTAGTGCGATAGCTCTTAGCCTGCGGAGCTCCCAGTCTTCTATGATTCGTCCAGGGTACTCCACCAGCCAAGTAGCTTCTAATACATCTAATGGCAGGATCGGATGAGTGCCTGTTACCACAAAGAATGGGGAACACCCCATCCTTTTTCTTACTGTGACGTGATCGGCCCACATTACCAGAATAAAGTAATGATGCCAGTGTCTCTCGTTACCACCACAGGCCTTGTACAGGGCCTGTCTCACATCCCAGTGCGGTCTCTCAATCCTTCCGTTTGCTTGGGAATTATAAGGTGCTATCAAGATATCTTTAATCCCGTACTTATGCTCTAAGTATTTCACTGCGGCCTTGAATGGCTTCCCATTATCTGTCACGATGAGGGATAGGCATCTCCACCAGCAGATGATGTCTTTGAATAGCCATTCTCCTATAGCCTGCGCAGATTCGCTTGCCAAAGTACGTCCTTCCATCCAGCTAGTGAGTGCACAATGACCATGGACTATATATTTATGTCCGTTCGAGGCCTGAGGCATGTGCATCGTATCCACATGCAACACCTGAAATATCGAAGGTGTAAATGTTACGGTAGGCGGTGCTTTGATCACTGTCTTCTGGTGTTCTTGACATATATGGCAGGTACTCACATACCATGCGATATCTCGTTCCATCTCAGGCCACCAGAATCTTTCCTTAATTAGCATTTTTGTAGCGTAGATGCTGCGGTGACCCAACTGGTCATGCGCAGCCTTCATAATGTACATCCGCCGTTCAGGATAGATCACTAGCTTGTGCTCGTTCTCCATATCTCTTCTGTACAGCTTCCCTTTCTCTACCACGAAGTTCTTAGCATAGCGAATGAAATTTCGATACTGGTTGTCCATAAATCCTTCCAGACGCTGGGTGGGATTCGCGTGCCAAGCCACTACTTGAGTGAGCTCTCTGTCGAGCATCTTAGCATACCTGCTCCCGTGTTCCTCCGGATAATCTCCAGCTTCCACAAACTCTTCTGCATCTGGTAGGAACACTCCTTTGTTGTGTCGTACCGCAAATACTTCAGCAGTGTCCAAAGCTTCTTTAATAATTTTCTCCTTGTGAAAATCATGTACCGCTCGCTCAATGGTAACATATCCATGTCTCATGTCAATTCCATCTTTGAAATCCGCAATGTCTGGGATGGGCTCCTCATTATCATTCACGAATTCCAACTCATCCACCTCTACCGGTTCGTACTCGTCCTCCGGATTTGAATATTCTTCGTCCCCAGGTTGGAAACTCCGTTGAAGAGGCTGGCTGTGGGCACCTGTGGAATAGTGAGCGGGCTAAAAGGCGAACCTCAAAAACCCACACTCACACTCACACAACTACACAAACTACAATCACCCTCGTAAGTTCTAGGGGGAGCGATTATTTCTAATGCAATCCAACTATACTTCAATATCTCTAAGAGTTTCTCTTATTCTCAGTGCTCTTAGCGAAGCTAAGCTTTCTCTAATGAATTCCTAAGTCTAGGAACTTTTACAGGAAGGTCGTTCACTGGTGCGATGCAACCTTCAAGGCAGATTTGAGTTAAAATACACAAGGGACACTGATCCCAACAGAAACAGAGGCAATACATGCCGGAACTTTAGTGAGCTCGCTAAAAGAACACCACAGGCAAGCACTGACTTAGCCCACTTGCTACACAACTGTATGTAGGGGATCTCCAACTAACTTCAACAGATGATCTCGACTCAAGAACACTTCAGAAGTGCTCGGAAACAGATTCA